CTAGTTTGGCAGCAGGTGGGTGGGCAGCTGGGCTGGCAGCAGCTGGGCTGGCAGCAGCTGGGCTGGCAGCAGCTGGGCTGGCAGCAGCTAGGGCCACAGGTCCCACAAGTGGAGAAGCTGGGAAACCCACAGAAACTGGTTTGACAACAGGCCATGGTGTGAGGAGTTGGGTTGAGAGTTGGGTTGCTTGGAGAAGTTTCTGAGTTTGGCCTGTGACTTCCACCTTGGGCCTTTTATAGGCCTTGGCCAATCCCTGTGTTTATGAAGGACATTTTAATCTTGCTACTCTTTAGCTTTTCTGGGGCCCTCTAAGTTATTTTAAGAATATCTGAAAATAATTTTTTCTTTATTGCCCAGTTAATACTCACCAAATGTGATCGTCCTTAGAAGAAATGTTAATGTTTCATTTTCAAACAATGCTGTCATTTCTACTCAAGCCTTAGCCTCAGCTCTACACTCAGGTCATGCATGTCACCTGAGGAGGTGACTCTCACATATAAGATGTTGTGGTTTGGGGGTCATAGTCACCAAACCTCAAGTCACCTCATTCCCAAGGAAAAACAGCCACTGACTATGCTTCATGGAAGACTGACTTTAGTTTATTTATTTTTAGATTTATAGGATTATATGGTCTACTATCAGCCAGATTTTCTTGATAAATTCTACAGTTATAGAAGTCCTGAGAATTTCTTCTGTGAGCTCTCCTAAACTTTAGAAATTTAAACTTAAGGAAGCATTTATCATTTGGGAGGAAGTAAAACCTCTTCCATTCCAATTCACTGTGAATAGTCTCTTAGCACAGATTTAAAAGAAGGGGTTAATATTCATATCCAAAATATAAGTAAAACTGATATTTTCTTTGAAAAAAAAATCATCATTGCTTTGTGGATTATCTGGACAGTATTTGCTTCTCAAAAGTGGAATTTATTGTCAATTTGTGCTATGCTTATATTACTATACCTTGTGCATTATGAAAGGATAGTATGTAAACGAGAATGAGCGTGATTTATGAAAGAGAAACAATGAAAGAAGCAAGATCAGGAAATACTTGTTTTAGATCACTGTGCTTACAAGGCAGGTTAGGAAACGGATGAGCACATTGAATTCAATAGGTCTGAAAGCAAAGAATTTATTATAAATTTTGGTAAAATGAAAATAACTCCTGGTGATAACCAAAAGAAAGAATATGTTTTTCCACTGGAAGCTTGGGATCACACAAGGGAAGTTAAAAAAAAGATAAGATGGTCAAAGAAACATACTATTACTGCATACAATAGAGTTACTTGTTTATTCCTTGAAATCATGAATGGAATGATAACACATAGCTTTATAAGAGGTTGAAGTATTGGCTTGTGCAGTAATAGAACTAAATTGGAATATGATTCATGCCTAGTCCAATAAAGATGTTCATATGGCAACCGTGACTGCAGGAATGAAGTTGAAAAGGAGTTATATGGAATCATCAAATATTAAAGATCAAAGAAACATCATAAATCATCTTGTCTATAATTTTCTATCTATAATTTTGTAGATGTAGAAGCTGAGATAATTTTTATTCTAAATACAACATGTTTACTTAATCCTAGTATACACAAAGCATCGAAAGGTTTTGCAGAAAGTCAGATTCAACTTCTTTGTCTCGTATCTTGCTCTAGTACACAAAGCTGTATGGTACCAAGAGGAGGGACTTATCAAGGAAAAAAGTTGAATATAAGTAGAGTTTTAAAGTGTTAAATTAGATGCTGATGTTATGCTATGAACCAATTTTAATTTTCCTTCAGCATCAGTTATGTTACAAAAAAAGCTTGAGTCTGGGAATGGCTACATTTTGCTAAGTTTAAGTGACTTGCTCCAATTTTACAGTACCCAGCTAGCAGATCTAGGTATAAAATTCCTATCTCACATTCTTAGACCACTTCTTTTTATTTTAGACTATGCTGATTTCTAGAATAATGTAGTGTAGTTGAATCTCTTTGTTTCATGTTTTTAAATAAATAAATAAGTATATATAGCATGTTGTTGTTGTTAAGTGCTATCAAGTCAGTGCCAACTCATAGCGACCCGGAATAGGGTTTCTGAGGAGCAGCTAGTGAGTTTGAACCAATGACCTTATGATTCAAATAGACCTTGCAGTCCAGTGCATTACCCCACAGCGCCTTACCAGGACACACATACACTTTATCTCTACATACCTATATACACACACACCAATATGTTTGTTCTTTTGGTAGCCCATGGTAGTTCAATATTCTCCTCCAACACCATAACTCAAAAGCATCAATTCTTCTACGGTCTTCCTTATTTACTGTCCAACTTTCGCATGCATATGAGGTTATTGAAAAAACCATGGCTTGGGTCAGGCGCACCTTAGTCCTCAAGCTGACATCTTTGCTCTTCAACACTTTAAAAAGGTCTTGTGCAGCAGATTTGCCTAATGCAATACATCGTTTGATTTCTTGACTGCTGCTTCCATGAGTGTTGCTAGTTGATCCAAGAAGAATGAAATCTTTGACAACTTCAGTCTTTTCTCCGTTGATAAGAATGTTGTTTATTGGTCCAGTGGTGAGGATTTTTGTTTTCTTGACATTGAGATGTAATCCATACCGAAGGCTGTGCTCTTTGATCTTCATCAGTAAATGTTTTAAGTCCTCTTCACTTTCAGCAAGCAAGGTTGTAACATCTGCATATCGCAGGTTGTTAATGAGTCTTCCTCTAATCCTCATGCCATGTTTTTCTTCATGGACCCCAGCTTCTTGGAATGTTTGCTCAGCATATGTTTGAATAAGTATGGTGAAGGAATACAATCCGTTGCACACCTTTCTTAATTTTAAACTATCCAGTGTTCCCATGTTCTGTTCAAACAATTGCCTCTTGGTCCATGTACAGATTCCTCATGAGCACAATTAAGTGTTCTGGAATACTCATACTTCGCAATATTGTCCATAGCTTGTCATGATCCACACAATGTATCTCATGTTGTTGTTGTTGTTAAGTACCGTGGAGTCGGTTCCGACTCACAGTGACACTGCACATCGTTTCTAAGGCTGTAAATCTATGCGGGAGCAGAACGCCTCATCTTTCTCCCATGGAACTGCTGGTAATTTCGAACTGCTGACCTTGAGGTTAGCAGGCCGATTCGTAAGCACTACACTACCAGAGCTCCTAATGTATCTCATAGGTATTATAAATATATCCATGAACATAGTAGAGCACACAGGGGGCAAAGTTGTGAAAAGTTCTTAGCTATAACTTTAAGGGAATGACTTTCTGGGTCTTGGAGGACATCAAGGTCTGTTTGCATAACAAAGCCCACAAAGACTTTGTTCTACATCCCACTTTGATGAGTATGGGCTGGTCTGGACTCCTGGTGTGGTTCTGTAGGATCAGCACTGGACTGCAAACCACAAGGTCAGGAGTTCAAACCCACCAGCTGCTCCTCTGAAACCCTATACAGGGCTTCTATGAGTCAGAACGAACTCTATGGCCCGTAACAGCAACATCAGTGGCCACCTAAGGTGCTACTATTGTTTTCCACTGGTTCACAGCAAAGAAGAGTGAATAAAACCAAAAGCACATGAAAACAGTTAGTCCAAAGGACTGACTCAATCCTCACTCTCTATGACCCTGAGACCAGAAAACGTAAGTGGTGCCCAGCTACCACTGCTGACTACTCTGAACAGGATTTCAATAGAAGGTTCTGGATAGGGAGAAAAACGTGGAACATAATTCAAAATCATCAAGAAATCATGCTTACTAGTCTGGTAAAGACTTGTGTGATCCCCACAGCTATAGCCCTCAGTCACCCTTCAAGCCAAGAACTGAGTTCATCTCTGGGATTACCGTTCAGCCATATGATAAATAGGCCTATAAGGCGAAAAATAATGCCAGAAAAGTATGCACTCCATACAATAGTCAACTATATAGGAAATCAAAAGAATATCATTTACCCTTGGATAAAGCTCAGAAGGCAGGAAGGGAGATGGAAAAGGACAAATGGAAATGGGAAACACGGGAAAGAAGTAGGAAGAGAGTCATTACATTGTGGGAACAGCAATCGATGTCATGAAACAAATTGTATACGAATTATTGAGTAGAAAATCAATTTACTCTGCAAAGTTTCACCTAAAGCACAATAAAAAGCAAACACACACACTATAAATAAGCTTAAATCTATGAAACAATTTATTTGGTTATTAGTGAGGAAAATTTCTCCAGAATTGCAATAAGTTACATTTGTCTCCTTTTTTTGTTTCCCACGTTTTTGAATCAGTTACCACCTTCTGAACTTTTGTTTGTGTGCTACACCCACCCGTCTTGCCTCCTCTGTTCTGTTTCATCACCACCACCACCTTAATTTAGCTCCTGTTGTGTCTATCACAGAGGAGGTCAATGGCCTTCTGTCTTTTATATGCAGGTGCCATGGGAAACATCCCAGTGTCCAACCATGGTCATGCCAGCCCACAGCCCCAAAGCTTTCAACATTCCTTAGTATTTGGTGCTTACTGATTACACCAAGGACTAGTCCTCAAGGCACACACATTTTCAAAGTTTATCTTCCATGATTACTTTGTTGTTGTAAAGTGCCGTTGAGTTGGTTCCAACTCATAGTGACCTTATATAGGGTTTCCAAGGAGAAGCTGGTGGGTTTGAACAGCTGACCTTGTGGTTTGCAGTCCAGTGCTTATCCTACAGAGCCACTGTAGGATGCCTAACAACAGAAACAATATCCATTATTGTGTTCCCAGCCACACTGTCCTCTGAGCAACCACGATGATCGCAGCTAAGAACATCAGTTCCCTCAGATTCATATGCCAATATTTTAACCCTTAAATAATATTGGCTTGTCCTTTCAATGTTTTCTTTTTTCCAATCAATAGTAACTTCTCTATTGACACTCTACCACAGGTTGCATTTTTTCTTTTCTTATATTCTTTTTAGTAGAGTTATTGTGAACTTCATTTTTCCCTCTAAAAGGTCTCTAGAGATAAAATATTTGAAACTCAACTTTGATTTCTCATTATATGCCATGCAGGCTGTGGCTTGCAGATGGTAGACAGTCATTATAATTTTGTAGTGTGCAAATTTAATGAAAAAATTAGAATGAATGAATAAAACCAAAATCATGTTTGCTAGGGCAAGAAAGAACTGTTTATTAGAAAATAAACATGACACAAGACCTAAAATTTAAGATTAGAAGAAGGAAGTTGCCTCTGTAGGAAGACTTGGGGACATTAATAGATGAGCTGGTGCTGAGCCCTGGACCTTCATTCATAGCTGGGTTAGCTAGGGGGTCTCAATGGCTCTGGCAGGAGGTTTGCTAGGTCGAGAAATGGGAGTATGGATTATTCAGAAGAGATGTTGCTTGTTCCAGACAGGCAATGCCTTGCTCAGCAGCAGGAAGGCCCGCAGGTGGTGCGGCAGGGGGCAGGCTGGCAGTAGGGGGGTCTGCAGCAGGGGGACTGCACAGAGATGGGCTGGCAGCAGGTGCTGGCCCAGCAGCATGGTCTGCAGACCACGGCCGTGCAGGACGTGGGGCAGCAGGAGATGGGCCGGCAGCAGCCTTCCTGCAGGCTGCATGGGTCACAGCAGATGGGCTTGGGGCAGGGCTCACAGATGGGGCGTGTGCAGTGGGGCACGCAGGTCACGGGGCGGCACACGGTGGTCTGGCAGGACACAGGGCGGCAGCAGCAGGGGTCTCTGCTGCAGCAGGGCTGACAGCAGCCTCCCCCACAGGAGGAGAAGTTGGAGCCACAACAGGAACCGCTCATGGTGAGGTGTGGGACTGGTCTGGGTGAGGTTGTTGAGAGCAGGTGGGTTTTCTCAGGTGTGAATGTCTTCCTCTTCCTCTGGGCCCTTTATATACCCTGACCAGGTGCAGCTCACTAGCCTTGTTTATCTTTTAACCAATTAAGTAGAATTTTGTTTTGACTAATGTTTACATTGCTAATGACATACTCATGACCTCATTAAATAACTCTTATCCCCAAATATGAATGTGTTCATGAAGTTCTTCATTAAAATCTAAGAATGCACAGTCATTGAGATGATAGTAGCTGTTAATTCTTATTTTGAGTAGATAACACCAGTGAAACCTAGGTGAAAATAACCCTAAAGGAATTACCATCTTTAAAGGTACAGCGATGCCTAGAGCTGTGACTGGATATAATCCTGGGACCCAGTAGGTCCTTAGACAGATATTAGACATGCCTTTCTCTGTGCATCTCAGAGATGTGTATTCACAGGTTCCTTGACATAGTACAGTGTACTTATAATGTGTCTTAAATAGGATATTGTTGTTGTAAAGTGCTGTACAGTCAGTTCTAACTGATAGTGACCCTGTATAGGGTTTCCAAGGAGCAGCTGGTGAGTTTGAACTGCTGACCTTGCAGTTCAAACCAGCCTTCCAGTCCAATACTTATCTTATAATGCCATACCAAGACTACTTAAATATGATAGCTCATATAAGGGAGGGACAAAAATTTATTTTTTTGTAGACATTGAAAGAAAACATTCAATATAGTCATGGGCTTTTTAATTTGTCCAGATCAGGCTGTGTGCAACTCTGGTTCTTTTAGCCACGCTGTTGTTGTTAAGTGTTATGGAGTTAATGATGACTCAACAACCCTTTATAGGGTTTCCAAGGAGTGACTGGTGGGCTTGAACTGCCAATCTTGAGATTAGCAGTCTTGTTCTTATTCTAGGATGCCAGCTTTGTTTCTGAGCTATAACTTTTCTTTGTGTGTACGATGAAGTTGTAAAATAAGCAGGTTTCTTTCATACCTCGACATGGGTGCCATGCCCATGGAGTGACAAGATGGAGGATTTTTCCACCCACATCACAAACACAAGCAGTACATTGGTCAGGGTGGTGTTTGGGGAGGCTGCAAACTGGTTCTGCTCTGGCTCTGTTAGGGGTGTGCAGGACACTCTAGTCAGGAAGCATCACCATAGGCAGTTTAGGAATTATGTGAGAAAATAGTCCCATCACTTTTCAGGCTAAAGCTGACTCATCTGACCTTGTTTTGGATCACTTTAGTCATTTTTATCCAAAAGAATGGGTCTCCTGACCCTGAAGCTAATGCTCCCCCAGTGGAATTTCAAACATCATTTCAAAACATTAAAAGGAATGTTAAATCGACAGAATGAAATGCAGTGTGTAAAAGCTATACCCATTAGGTACAATTAAGGAGACAGGTGGAGGAGTGGGGAGCCAAGGGCAGGCTCATCGCTGCAGCATGTCACGTCTCTCACAGGTCTCGTTCTGTCCCTTGTCCAGACGCACATGGCAGTTCTCAGAGGGTAACTGGTACCAGATCAAAAGGTGTACATTTGGTTTAATTTTTCTTCATGTGGGCCTTTATACTCATATTTTACATAATGGGAGCTTCTTTGAAAGACTTAAAAAACAAAAAAAAACTTGTAAAGTTAACAGTAAGTTTTCTTCTTTGAACACATCTTACTGAAAGTTATTCCAAAGAGATTTTTTTTTTCCTTTTTTTTTTCTCTCACCTTCCTAAAGATCCAGAAGGATGGAGTCTATGATCCCTTCTTAAGCTCTTTTACTGTCTACTCAGTCTAGGAAACTCATCACCACGTCATATCCAAACGTCATTTTCAGACAGAGAAAATATGGGTTATTCTCAGTAATTTACGGTACAGGGCTCTGTCATTTGACATTGGTGGCAGTTATATGCTGTTTTCCAATGGCCTTTATCTTAAAACAAGATAACCCTCGCTGTGAAAGCTTTGACTCTTCCTGGCTATGTGGCCATATTGTTTTTGTTGTTAAGTACCATCAAGTCAGTTCCAAATATGGTTTTGGTGGGTTTGAACTGCCGACTAGTGAGTTTGAACTGCCTGCCTTGTGGTCAGAAGTCTAGTGCTTATCCTACAATGCCACATCAGGGTCATAGGAGATGATAATCGTACGGATTTATCAGGGTTGTTGCTGCTAATGGTAAATGGACAAATGTTTGTAAAGTACTAAGTACGGCACCTGGCACTTTGTGACTTCCAAGTCTTTGTTGACTAAATGAATGTTTGGAAAGATCATGCTAGATCGGTGCCATGTTTTATGCAATAAACTCTAAATTTTGATTTTAGAAAGAACAACATGTTTGATATGGCAAGAGACAAGTTCTCTATTCAACTACTACAGAATACACATTAACTAAAATTATTCAGTGGTGGGTCTTATTAATAGCATGAAACAAAATAAAAATACTTGAAAGGAAGAGCTAGCACTCCAACTCTTGGGGCATGGATCTCCTTAGAGAGGTTTCAAACCATCACGAACCAGTCCGTGAGGAAGTATTTGTGTCAGAATTGTGGGCAGTGGTACAAACCCTACTGAGAACCCCACAGTCCCTGCAACACAGAATGACGTCACAGAAAACCTTAAAAAAACCTAAAAACAACCTCCCACTAATTCAAATGTGCAGTGGCTCGCTAGGGTAAGCAACGGACTGAGAACCAAAAGGTGGGCAGTTCAAGCCGTGAAAGAAAGATGAAGCTTTTGGTTCCCACAGAGATTTATAGACTCAGAAATCCTAATCAGGGTTACCGTGAGTCAGAACCAACTCAAAGACACTTAACAAATATTGAAACAGATTCTTAATCTTAGTAGCCAACGTATTTTGTGTAACAACTACTGGGTTTTTGCTTAACAGTCACATTGTTTTTTTGTTTTTGTTTGTTTTGTTTTTTTATCTTCCTCTAGCCGAGAGTTCTGATCATCAAGCCATCGAGGCTAAGTCAAATAGGTACTATCTGCAACTTTGGGTGTTCTTGTGCATCTCCCTCACTTCAACATCAGCTGGGTGCTTCGCTCTCAGCTCTAACCCTCCATGGCTATGTCCTTGTCCATGGGCTCAGGTGTCCCCAGGTCTCACCTCTCTTTGGACCTACCAGCCCTTCCTCTTCTCTCTCTCATCTCCAGGTCAACAGGAGTCTATGGAACATGGTCAAAATCAGCCCATTTTTTCATTGCTGCCTTTCCCTCTCTTCTACTCACCAGTAGACCAATGTGATCACTGGTAAGCTTACATGTCTGCTCATGTATTCCCTTTGTGTTTCAGTCTTAGAGGGGGGTTTGTCTTGAATGGACTTGATTGCTTACATTGATGGCTTCCCGGCAAACAACTTGCTTATTCTTGTAGTAGCCAATCATACTGCCATTTTTGTTTTGGGTTTTTCCTGCTGATCTTTTTTTGAAGATGTATCTTCTGTCACTCTAGCTGTTTCAGTGTGCTTGTCCTTTCTGGTGGGAATGCCCCATCTCAGAAGGTTCTGGATAGGGCTCATGGTTCCACATTGCATCCTATACACTGGAAAGGCTCCACAAGAGGCCCCTTTTACTGGGCAAGTTGTAGAACCCCTTTTAGGTATTCCAATCTGTTATAGGCTGAAGATGGCTTACAAGCTTTCTGTAATCTTGTCTCCCCACATTCCTTTCTATCCCACTCAAGTGTCTATTTTACAATAATAGGCAAGGGAAACCAATATTCATAAGACAGTAAATCGTCTTAGTATTATTTCCCCTCTTCAGGCTATGCCTTGATTCCTGTATCACAGAGCCCTGTTGTTCCAAGGTTGAACACGCATCACTATTTACCTCTGTTCCTTTTAGCCTATGCGAACCTGTCTCAGTGTTCCCCTATCTACCTTGTTCTTCCACCCCTCCCACTTCTTGTGTAGTGCCCTCCCCAACACCCAAACTGTGATATGTCTGCCCCCTCCCCTGTGCTGTACTGTCGCCTCCCTCCACCTCCCCCAAGTCCTCCCACCCCATTCCCATCAGTAACCAACAAATAAATTTTTTCCCTTTAATATGGGTATCTTTTCTTAAACTTTTACAATAATGGTCTTATGCAATAAGTCACATTCTTTTTAATATAATTTTAATATTACAATGTTAACATGAAAAAATTATTGTGTTTCTAGTTCTTGATTATCTGTTCAAATGGAAAAAAAACCTACATGTAATCTGAAATGGCTACCAATTAAGAGTCCTTAATTTGGAACATTCCAAAATCCACCTTAGTTTATGCAACTGAGGTGTTCTTGTTGTTAAATGCCTTATAGTCGGTTCCGACCCATAACGACCCTGTATAGGGTTTCCAAGGAGCCTGGTGGGCTTGGACCATTGAACCTGTGGTTCAAACTGACTTTGTAGTCCAGTGTATTCACCCACAGCACCATACCAGGACTCCAAAACTGAAGTACTCCTTAGATATTTTTAAGGCATCAATACACATTTAAATGGAAAAAAAAATTTTTTTTTCTCACAAAATTGTGTAATATTTTACAATTTAATCCCACCCCCTGACACTAAATATATGCCATTGGCAATTGCATGGTGTTTTCTAGTAGGTTTGCAATCCTCAATATTTTAACTTTATATTTGCTGTTGTTAGGTGCCCTTAGGTCGGCTCCTACTCATAGAGACGCTGTACACAACAGAATAAAACACTGCCCAGTCCTGTATCATCCTCACAATTGTTGTTCTGCTTGAGTCCACTGCTTCTGTCACTATGCAGTCCATCTCAGTGAGGACCATCCTCTTCTTCTTTGACCCTCCACATTACCAAGCACAATGTCCCTACTGACAACATGTCCGAAGTATGAGAGATGAAGTCTCATCATCTGGCTTCTAAGAAGCATTCTGGCCGTGCTTCTTCCAACACAGATTTATTTGTATTTCTGGCAGTCCATTATACTTTCAGTATTCTTCTCTAACACCATAACTCAAATGCATCAATTATACCAC